CCATCTAGTGGGAAAATATTGAGATCCAGAGACAATGCATGCCACCTGGTGAGATCATCGAAAAATGTGTCAAATTTGACAGTTGACCTTGCTCTACCAAATGGTGAATAACTGTTTTTATAGGAAGAATATTATGGTTTGAGACTTTTAAATATGTCTGTGAATATATTAGAAATCCTTTAAGTATACTTGTATTCACTGATTTCAAGTCATAAATAAATTAATAGATGATTAAGTTGAGAAATGCATTTAGACACATGAAAACTAATTCCGACACAACTTGAATTGGACACACACAGATCATTCCAACTTGGAACGATCTGTGTGTGTCCAATTCAAGTTGTGTCGGAATTAGTTTTCATGTCAATCCATTTCTCAACTTAATCATCTATTAATTTATTTACGACTTGAAATCAGCGAATACAAGTATACTTAAAGGATTCCTAATATATTCACAGACGTATTTAAAAGTCTCAAACCATAATATTCTTCCTATAAAAACAGTTATTCAATATTTGGTAGAGCAAGGACAACTGTCAAATTTGACACATTTTTCGATGATCTCACCAGGTGGCATGCATTGTCTCTCTTTGGATCTCAATATTTTCCCACTAGGCCTAGATGGCCAAGACCTAGTGTTTTGGCCTTATTTTGACGCGCAAATGTATGACGTCACCATTTCAACCATCAACAAACGCATGGAACTAAAACAAAGCTTAACATAAAGGAGAAACTAGTGAGGTGACGGATTTACCCATGATGTCGGAATACCACTATGCAGAGGGTGGATGCAGGCTGCAGCGGCTGTAGCTAGGGTGGAGTTTATCCTTGTGCAGGGAAGCATCATCAGTGAACGAGTGAAGCAGTTTTATCGTTAGTAGGTCTGTAACACAGATTTAGAGCTAATTGGGCCCCAAGTGACTGGCGGCGGAGGGACAGGGCAGGTATAAGCGCTTCAGCTTGCAGGGATATGATGGGAGTTGTTCGTCGCGCACCCAGGATCAGGCGCAAGCAGGCATTTTGCAGCACATCTAATTTGCCAAGCATTGAATTTGAGGTGGTCTGATTAACATAGTGGCAAAGCAGAGAGTTTTTTACACTCTTGCTCAAGTTCATTTCTGAGTCTTATAAGTAGACAAGCAAAGTATCATGGATACCAGCGGTGAGCAGTCCAGCATTATCATACATAAGAAATTGGTTTAAATCTTGAGTAAATGTGGAAAATAAAAATGAACTGATTCTAAAAAATCTCTGGATTGTCACTATGGCTGGGAATGGCCCAGAAGGCATTCCCAATAACTGGGAATGGCTGGGAATGGCCCAGAAGGCATTCCCAATAACTGGGAATGGCTGGGAATGGCCCAGACTCTGATCTAGTATGGAATATATCTACTTGGCGAGCCGCGACTGAATTTTTCGAGCCGTGGTTTTATGGATTTGCCAGCCGTGATTCCATTTCTACGAGCCGTGATTCTATTTCACCGAGCCGTGAATTCCAAATCTCGGCCATGAAAAGCCATTTACGAGGTGCTGAAGTTGAAAATTTTATGAAATGACATGTGTGCGAAGTGCAAACCGCGATTTTTTAATCAAACAAAAATTTATGACATTCGAGCCGCGAGATTTCATACCTACTGAAATTATATGATATTAGAGCCGCGAGATTTCATACCTACTGAAATTATATGATATTAGAGCCGCGATATTTCAGACAAAAATAGGACTTTTCCAGACTAGTCACAAGCTAGTAATATGCGGTCCCCAACATAAGCGTGGGCCCGTGGGGCATCCAAAATCATGCCAAGCACTTTGTGCTGTGCTTTATAGTTTAAGTTTATGAGACTGCCATCAAAGCGCATGACTGGAACCTGCTTGCATTTGTTGCCGAAGTATTGGAAAACTGTTTTGTTGGGATTGACCACCAGTCCCCAACTCTTGAAGTAGTCACTGATGATCCTTAGATAGTTAGGTAGTCATATTCAATTTTTCTGCTTGCATGGTTTGTGCGCGGCATGCTATTGTAAGATCATCGGCATAGATGAGAGTGTGTGTGCTGTCATGCTGTGGGATATCCATGAGCAGGAGATTAAATAGAAGCGGGCTTAAACCTGCTCCTTGTGGAACGCCTGCTCCCAACACATGGGGGTCTGACACTTCCATGTTGCTTCTAAGTTCAATTACAAATGTCCCTCTACTTGAAATTTTTACCCTAAATTGGTATTTCACTTCGATAAATGGAATGCTGCCACTTGCAAGGGAATAGAGACGGATTTAAATGTATTCGAGAAGGAAGGTATAGCCAAACTATTCTTGGTTACAGGCAATAAGGATGAAAATATTGGACTTTTTCAATGGACTTACACTCACAGTTTATCTATATATTCCGCTAATAACTGCGAGAGGTCTTAATTGATCTGCAGACGCTGGGATACGGAGAAAAATTACATATCATTCAATTTCTAATTTTACATTCAACAATAATTTGCTCAAGAAAAATATAACGAAATAAAGCAAACAAATATTTTTGGACGTATTTATTTAGACTTATTAATTACCAGTCGTCATGTCATTCCCGGTAATCCTAACCATGGTTGAACTCGTTCCATGTATTAGTTCATTTATGATAATAACTTTTGCTACTTTAAATTGTATTTAATGGAAATGCTAAATAAAAGCCAGAAAACACTATGCGGGATAAATTACTACATAAAGATGTAAATATTTGACTCAATTTTCATAAATGGGGAATCTTAATGTATGTCTGTTATCAACGAACTGCTTCACTGGAGAAAATGTTTGCCGCTATTCTCTCGCTAACGTTGGTGCTTGTACTCCAACATTCGAAATAGTTGAATGAAAGTGATCGTTGTGTCAAATGTCAATGTTTCTTAGTTAAGAGCAATATATCTCCATTTTGTATTACTAATAAGGTAAGTAGCTGTACTTTAGGCACTTTAATTTTTTTTAAAGTAAATAAATAAATTAAAGGCACTTACAAAGGCGTTACGCTAATCGCTTAAGTCTTTACTCCGCCGCCCTTAGTAATTAGTAGACGGTCAATATTTCAATCTGTCACACGACATGTAGTTGAAAATTTAACACGTCATGTGGGGTTTTATTAATTTTTGTGTAAAAATAGTGATCGGTGCTGGCCGGGCGTATGCCCCGAATAACGTTGGAATTGGAATTGGAATTGGGGGGCGTGGTGACCTACGGTCACGACCTTTAAATCGGTCATACACGCTGCCTAGAAAACTTTTACTAGCATCAAAAAAATTAAAAGTTCACACTCTTATGTTAACAAAAAAGTTCAAATATACCATATTCACAGCTGTCCTAAGAAAAAATATAAAAATTTGACAATCGCAAAAAATTAAAACCACGTACTAAAACAATTCGGCACGTTCACACGTCTTCCCACCCTCCCCTCTCTCAACCCTCCATTCCTCAAGACTCCACTCTTATCACCCTCCTCCTCTCCCTCATCATCCACACGCTTTCCATATATCTCTTCACGCTCTCAAACATAGCCGCAGTTGCTCCCTCAGACAGACCCGTAATTATCGCCATCCACTCTTCGCTTGTTCTCTCATGCCCCACCTCGTTAGTCTCACCTCTCTCATTCAGAATCACCTCAATCATAGACTGACGCTCTCTCTCTCATACGCCCCACATTCCATCAACAAGTGCTCTACAGTTTCCTTCTCATCCCCATCACACATAAAACATTTATCTTTCCTCCTCTCATTCCACCTGTATGTACGTCCATTCACACCTAGCGTGCCTGCCCTAACACAAAACAGAAGGTGAACACATCATACATCATACATACATTCATATTTTGGCATCGCTTTCATCTGATACAGTTTTAGAGAGTCCTTTCCCTCCATTCCTTGTTTCCATACCTTCAGCCCATAGTTTTTCACTCGCTCATTTATTTCTCTTTTCCACTCTTTTTCATCCCACTCGATCCCAATCGCACCCCGTACTGTCACCACCCATTCGTCTTTGGCCCAGCGGGCCTTTGGCGCACCCATGCTTCATGCATGCCACACTTACGCACCACTGCCCGACATCTGCGTGCCCATTTGCTCACCTTCATGTTCCACATATACATCTTTCGAGCCCAACGTTCATCATCCATTCGCTCTAGTCTCAATTTATACCTCAAAACTGCTCTCATTCTTCTTTCCTTGAAGGTACTCCAACCCATGTCTCCTCTCAGGGCCTCTACTGCAGTCCACCTGGGGGCTCCTAGTGCCAATCTCGCCACTCTATTTTGTACCAATTCCAATTTATCTAGCTCGCCATCACTATATGCTATCACATCCAGTCCATACATAATGCTAGGCACTGCTACACTCTTCCACATTTCTCTCAATACTTCATACTTACTCGCTCTCACTTTTGCTGCACTTCCAAGTATACCCAACCATTGGTTCGCCTTACTTAAATTCGCGGCCTTTGTTCTCTGACATCCTTCATGGTCCACACACATCCCTAAGTACTTATACTCATTTGTCCTAACAATCTCATTCCCTCCCAACATCCACACTCTGCTCATATCCTCAANTACGATCATCACCATTTGCATTCTTTCATTCTTAGTTGTTGCATACTCGACCTTTACAGCAAGTATATCCTCGCTCATCTCGCTTTCACCAACACTTATTTCCTCCACGTCATACCCGGCCTCCATACGTACAATAACTCCAACTCCCCCACCCTTTGTTTGTTGCTTTTTCCTTCCCTTATAGAACATCTCATACTTCCCGCTTCTCAGACATCCATTCTCTCTCATTTGAGTTTCAGTTACACCTACTATATCCATCTGATGTGCTTCCAACTCTTTACACAGATCTTCATATTTTCCAAGACCCAAGCCTCTGATATTTATCAGTCCCACTTGCACCATTTTCGTATTGTTTGGTCTGGTCACATTCACACTCTTTTTCTGTCATTCCGTACGTACCACTTCCACACAATTTTCTTGCACCCACCGTTTCACTTTTCGCTCAAGCACCTCCGTCCCCTCAGGATTGAGGTGCATTCCGTCCATTCCAAACATGTTCTCTCTAATACAGTCAGGATCAAGAAAGCTGACATTTCTCTCACCCATTTTAAAGCATTCGATTTTGAATTCCATCAGATTCTTAAACACTTTCATATTTACATCTTTTCTCATTCTCTCGTAAGTATTATCCTCTCTAGGTCGTCTCAAAATACAGATTACTGCCACAGACATATTTTTTTCATGCACCTCCCTCACGCAACTAGTAATTTCCTGGACGGTTTTTTCCACACCTATCTCTTTAAGCCCATTTCCCCCACCATGTAAGACAAAGAGCCCGCGACTATAATTTTCAATTTTGAGTTTTGAGTGCTTCCGTATGTCGATAACGTTTGCTCTTCCTAGGGATACAATTTCACTACCTATTTCATTCACGCTAATTTTTCCCGCCAGTGCTGACATCCCACTGTCCCCCACCATAACAATTGGGTGTTTAACTATCTTTTTCTGACATACCTTAGTTCTGTCACATTTCATCCTCCCGTAAAAAAACGTAAGTTATTAATTTTAATACTAAATAAGTCATAAAGCGTTCTAGGCACTAATAATAGGCGTTTAAAAATTACTTTTCAAAGACAACACTCCTGAACAATCCAGTGTCTTTGATGTTACACATGTACAATAAATTTCTAATTTTTTAAATTTTCAAATATTGAAAAAAATATTGGATAAATATTGAAAAAAAAATATTTTTCAAAATTTTTATGATATCAAAATTTTGTAAATTTTCAAAATTATTTATTATTGTAATAAAATTTTTATGACCACTCACAACGGCACACAAACTGACCTCGGCCGGACAATCTTCTCAGTACAGTTGCCTTTTTTATTGCGTTTGTGATCCGCACCTCTCCCAATAACTTTACGAATTTCTTATACGGTATACAGTATTAAGTTTTCGTGTCAAATGTATTCATTACACATTTATTTCTCTTGTTATTTAATAATAACATGAAAATTGAATCCAACGACAATTTTGACGACAAATACATTCGTCGTTAGTATCAGTGAATATCAATGCATTAAATTTCAACACTGCAGGGTCGGACGATGGATAAAAGGCTCCTCGAAGATACTTCGTGGGCTGTGATTGGAGTCGAACAAAGAACGGACATACTGCGGCAACAAGTCATAAAAAACTACACCCACATGCAGGGGCCAGGTGAGCCAGCTGCAGGTGCTAGCTATTTCAAACTATCGTCAGTCCTGAAAAGATCCGGTCAAACGACACGATTTTAGATCTTCTATGAACAAGTCACGAAAAGTAAAAGAATCTGCTACAGGCCACATCAGGCCTACTCTTCAGCACTGACATCACTATGATATGACGTGATATAGAATAGAATAGAAGTGTCGGCACTGAAGAAATAGGCCCATGGCCTGTTGCCGATTCTTGAATTTTTCGTGACTTGATTCACAAGGGATCCGGCCTTTGGAACCCGATCTTTCCATATAACTGACGATTGATTGAGATCGCTGCTGGACTTATTGCCTGGTCCGTAATTTGCTAGGCATTTTAAGACTGAACATAAGCTCCTGCATAGCTTCGTCTAGTCTGTTTTTGAAGGCGTTCATACTCGGAGCGTCAACGATGCTATCAGGTAGGCTGTTCCACATGTCGGTGACTCGAAGCGAGAAGAAATGTTGTCGCATGGATGAGTTACAACGCTGTTTGTTTAGTTTATAGCCATGATATTAGTAGCTTGGGCTGATCAGACGCTCCTACGAGTATCTAGATATAGAAATGATGAAGCTGTTGTTCACCTCTGTCGTGCGCCCGAACCTGGGTTATGATTGAGATTCAATGGGTTATGATTGAGAAGTCTTGCGTGGAAAAAGATCTTGGAGTTTGTGTCGACAAGGAGCTAAAATTTTATAGGCATATTGAAACGCAAGTTAATACATCCAATAAAATCCAATAAACTGACGCGGTGACGTTGGTAAAGTATTATTATTATTACTATTATTATTATTATTATTATTATTATTATTATTATTATTATTATTATTATTACAAGTGGAGATAAAAAAGATAAAAAAAGACACGAGAGGATAAAAAGACGCGCGTCATCCAATAAAATTTTATAGGCATATTGAAACGCAAGTTAATACATCCAATAAACTGCTTGGGCTGATCAGACGCTCCTACGAGTACCTAGATATAGAAATGATGAAGCTGTTGTTCACCTCTGTCGTGCGCCCGAACCTAGAGTTTGGAAACGTTGTGTGGTCACCGAGACTTGAAAAGGACAAAATTTTAGTTGAGAGTGTTCAAAGACGTGCAACAAGGATAATTCCAGGTTTAAAGGGCAAGTCTTATGAAGAAAGATTGAAGATTATGAAGCTTCCCAGTCTCCGTTATCGTCGCCTCCGTGGTGACCTCATTGAAGTATACAAGTATACTCATGGTTTGTACAAGGTCCCAGAAGGATTACTAGAATTTGAAACAAGAACCAACACCAGGGGTCACAGCTATAAACTAAAAAAAACTGCGGTGCAACTTATCCACGCGACAACATTTCTTCTCGCTTCGAGTCACTGACATGTGGAACAGCCTCCCTGAAGATATTGTTGACGGTCCGAGTATGAACGCGTTCAAGAACAGACTAGACAAGGCCTTGCATGAGCATATGTTCAGTCTTAAAATGCCTCGTACCCTACGGAACATCTGATATCTAGAAGCGATTTTAAATCTACCGTCCGTAAGGCCAGTCTAGTCAAGAAAAGTACAAGAATCGGCGACAGGCCTATCCAGGCCTATTTATTTAATGCCGAAGATACTATACTATACTACTATACTAAAACAAAGGACATACGCCAAGACTGACGACGTCTATGCTAGAACAAACAACACCTATGCTAAACCAGTAATATCATGATAGCTTAAATGACGGCTAGGTCTAAGATTCAAAGGTTCTACAGAAAAGTTCTGTTTTAGGCGTCGACGAAACAGCGGCTGAAGGCTTAGTAACCTCTATATTTTCCCTGTTATAAACGTGCGATAATAGATTTCCTTTAAAAGTTTTTTGTTTTGGTACATCTTCACTATTGCCTAGGAGTCCCGTGACAGTTAGATTGTCACTGGCAGATGAGGCAGTTGCTTCATCATTTTCCGTAATCCGCAGATACAGGTAGAACCATGGGAAAAAAAATATATGCTCTGGTTAGTTTGTTACGGCCTCAGTTGTTTAACATCTTTCTATTCTTTTGCATATCATTGATTTTAATTTCTTTATGTGCTACGTTGTTTCTCAGTTTCCAAGTTAAATATTTTACTATTATAATCAGCTGAGAAACTATATTTCATTTAGGTTGCCAAGTTTTAGTTTGTTCCCTTTTGAATTTCTGTAGAATTGAAACTATAATTATATCTTATTGCAGGTATAATTCAATATTTGGAAAAAAGAAGAGCTGCTTTCTGGTTCGTTAGCCACGACCGAGAATAATAATAAAGTTGCCTGTAAGAGAAAGATAACAGGCGACTTCGAACCAAGGAAAAGGATGGTCCATGGTCTCTCTGAAAATCGCGACGCTTGAGGACGGGGTGAGGACGGTGTTGGAAACAACAACCTGTTTCTTGCGCATTTGTCATGGTTAATGGTTAACAATAACCTCTATATTTTCCCAGTTATATACGTGCGATAATAGCTTTCCTTTACCCGTTTTTTGTTTTGGTTCGTCTTCACTATTGCCTAGGAGTCCTGTGACAATTAGATTGTCACTGGCAGATGAGGCAGTTGCATCATCATTTTCCGTAATCCGCAGATTACGGGAGGGCAGAGGGTAGAAGATCTGCTCAGGCGCCCACTCCTCGTCGTCGTCGTCAGGCGCGCGGCGCTTGCGGGGCGCCTGCTGCGCCCTTGGGCGCCTACAAGGAGGAAGAGTTGGAGGCTCGTGAAGAAGTTCATTTGTTAGAATCACTCATCCAACGTCAAGAGAGCAGCTCGTCGTTGGAGTCCTTTTCCTCGGAAGACAACCCTAATGATGAAGGTAAGTTGCGGAGGCATTTTTTTCTGCTGCTTTATATCGTTTTCTTCCTGTTACTTTGTTGATGTTGTTAGGGACGTATAGTACAGTATAGTTAGGGACGTCCTAGCACCTGATGGTGGACTGCTTGCTATGAGTTAAACAGTGTTGGAAACAACAACCTGTTTCGTGCGCATTTGTCATGGTTAATGGTTAATGGTTAACAGTAACCTCTATATTTTCCCTGTTATAAACGTGCGATAATAGATTTTCTTTAAAAGTTTTTGTTTTGGTTCATCTTCACTATTGCCTAGGAGTCCTGTGACAGTTAGATTGTCACTGGCAGATGAGGCAGTTGCATAATCATTTTCCGTAATCTGCAGATACCGGTCGTCAGGCGCGCGGCGATTGCGAGGCGGGTGCTACGCCACTGATCGCCTACAAGAAGTGCAGCGATGATGCACGCTGGTTAAAATCAGTCATCCAACATCAAGGTGAAGAAACTAAGTTGCGGAGGCATTTTGTTCTGCTGCTTTATATCGTTTTCTTCCTGTTACTTTGTTGATGTTGTTAGGGACGTATAGTACAGTATAGTTAAGGACGTCCTAGCACCTGATGGTGGACTGCTTGCTATGAGTTAGGTGGACTGCTTGCTATGAGTTAAACAGTGTTGGAAACAACAACCTGTTTCGTGCGCATTTGTCATGGTTAATGGTTAACAGTAACCTCTATATTTTCCCTCTTATAAACGTGCGATAATAGATTTCCTTTAAAAGTTTTTGTTTTGGTTCATCTTCACTATTGCCTAGGAGTCCTGTGACAGTTAAATTGTCACTGGCAGATGAGGCAGTTGCATAATCATTTCCGTAATCTGCAGATACCGGTCGTCAGGCGCGCGGCGATTGCGAGGCGGGTGCTACGCCACTGATCGCCTACAAGAAGTGCAGCGATGATGCTGGACTGCTTGATGAGTTAAACAGTGTTGGAAACAACAACCTGTTTCTTGCGTATTTGTCATGGTTAATGGTTAATGGTTAACAGTAACCTCTATATTTTCCCTGTTATAAACGTGCGATAATAGC